ATAGCCACAGACTCGTTTTTGAGAAAGCTAGGCTTTGGAAAAATAAAAGTATGCCTCTTGGAAATAAAATGTGCAAATGCAGTTTGAATGTACATTCCAGAATCAATGTTTCATTCCTCTTTTCTGCTTTCATGTGTACCAGTGTTTAAGTACTCTCTTTTACTAGCCATGTAAATTTATTTTTACTGGGAAAAGGAATGTTTCAGACATAGTCCTACTCTTGAGGAGTTCATAGTCTTGTGGAGGGATGGATAAAAAGTAATTAGGATGTAATGTGATCAGTATAAAATTGATGTATGTGTGAAGTATTATAACTATTTGCCTGCTTTTGACTCTTTGCTCAAAATTGTTTGTTGAAGGGAACAGCAAGATAGGTGATAGAATCTTTATTTTTGACAGATACTTCTATTTTGAAAAATAGACATACCCCACCCCCACCCTACTTCCAGCAGACAGTGAGCAACATGGCATTTGGAAGACTTGGGCTTTTCATTTCTTGGTGTGTAAGTTATTTTTAGTTATTTTTTTTTTTCCTTTTTGTCTTTTTTCGTGACCAGTAACGGGATTGCAACCCTCAGTGTCACGCCCATACTGCGACCGGCAACGGGATCGCGACCCTTGGTGTCGCGCCCGCACCGCGCTCAACCAGTGAACGGACTCGTCTCTATATGGGATCCGAACCCTCGGCGGGAGCGCCGCTGTGCTCCCAAGCGCCGCACTCTACCGAGTGCGCCACCGGGCCGGCCCTATTTTTACTTTTTGATTCACTAATATTCTCTCTTGTTAGTTACACTGAATATATGAAACCCTGATAAATCTTAAGGCCCGTGTAGCAAGCAAATAATACGTGTTTTTGCTTAGTCTTTTTTTTTTCTTCACTATTATAATAGAACCAACTTACCTTCAAAGTCCAAAGCCAGCATTCGTTCATTTTGTTGTGGGATTGATCATCCACAAGTGACATGGCTATCTGGGAGTTGTTGGTTGGGATGTTGAAGCCAAGGCTGCAGAAGAGTGACTGAAACAGAAATGTCCTCCTGATAAACAGGTTTAAAAGGGTATTATTTTTTTTTAATAAAGCAGTACAAACAGTTCTTGAAAGATTTATGTTACCTCCATGACTGAGAGCAATGTCTAACTCCAATTAGCCACTATGAATTCTAGTCTTTTAAGATACCTAAACATTTTAAAGTAATTTAGGCCACATTAGGTTATGAATAGAAGCTATTTGGCTGCATATACCATGTGCAGAATAGTAAATGTCTATATGTTATTTTATTTTTTGTGATAATCTATGGAAGTTTTATTTATTTATATTCTTTATTTTTAACAGCTGACCAGTACAGGGATCGAAACTTGGACCTTGGTGTTGTCAGTGCCATGCTCTAACCAACTGAGCTAATTGGCCAGCCCTATAAGTTATTTTGATAATTTATATAGTGTTTTTTTCTGGAATGAACAATAAAGCATTTGCTTCCGATTAAATTTTGTAACATAGATAATCATATACTAACTCCCACTTTCAACCTCATGATTTATGCTTTTATTTTTGTAGGCCACAAGAACTCATCACTATTGAATTATTGCCAAGTCTGAGAAACTCAGGACATCCTTGGTCTACATTACTGAGGAGGACAAAATAATAATTATGGAATATGAGGTATAGCATCTTGAATTACAAATTATTTTTACAGGTCTTATTTATTTACACTGAACTCAAACTGTCTGTCTAAGAAAAATACTAATAAAAGTAAGGTAAATTGCTACTACAAAAAAAATGTAATTTTTAATATGTAGCTGAATGAAATCCTAAATGTTATCAGTAATATATAGAAACCTTATTTAATAGCATTTCCTTTTAAAAAGGATAATATAGTGGGTCCGTTTCAAATGTTCTAATTAGAAAAAAAATTATTTTTTGTCTTTCAGAAAAAAATAGTTGTAATTTTCTTCTTTCTGGAAAGATTTTTTAAAAAGGGGATTCAGAAGAAAGAAATTCTGCCCAGATTAAGTTTATTGTAGCAGGATTTGTGGCACAAATCCCCTAAAGAATTAATTGTGAGACTCCAGTGTATGCCATGTGTTAGAAATTAAATTGCCATTAAGAAGGAGAAATACAACAATCACAATAATTCCTTGAATTTTCAAAAGGAGAGAATGGAGCTGAGGCCATCCAAGGTGGGCAAATGGGGGGTGGGGGGGAGAGGAATAGGGAGAAATTGGTACAGGGCCACAAAAAATGTTTACATTGTGTAATAAAATAAAAAAATAAAAATATATAGGAAAATGATTTTAAAATGTACAAAAAAATTAGTTGTACACTTGAAAAAAAATTACCATCAACAACTAAATTTGATACCCTTAATCTTAAGTATACAGAATGCCATACATAAACCAGTACAATCTTAGAAAGATTTCATCCCTTAGCTGCTCTATAGAAGTGTAAGATTATTTTTTTGTTTTTTTTGTTTTTCCGTTTTGTCTTTTTTCGTGTCCGGCAACGGATCGCAACCCTCAGTGTCGCACCCGTACCGGACCAGGACCGGCAACGGGATCGCAACCCTCAGTGTTGCACCCGCTCCTCGCTCAGCCAGTGAGCGGGAACCGGTCTGTATGTGGGATCCAAACCCTCGGCAGGAGCGCCGCCGCGCTCCCAAGCGGCGCACTGTAGCAGTGCGCCACCGGGCCGGCCCCTAAGATTAATTTTTTGAAGCAACATCTTTTAAAATTCCTGTAAATTCTAAAAAGTGATTCCTAACTTTAAAAAGTTTTATCTTTAGGTATTTCATGCTAATTTGAAAGCCTTCTTTATCAAATATGATGGCACCATATATATTATGAAACCATGGCTAAGAAAAATCTACCCACATGATTAAAGTTTTGTTGAGTATGAATAATTTTTTTCTTAATGCACAGCACTAATTCTACTTTTCTACACAACTGGATAAATAAAAGCTAAGATATAATTTATACTTCTTTGGAAATAAAAATTCAACATATCTTACACCGGTTTTCTATTAACTTTATTTTCAATATAATTAAAAAATTCATCTTAATGGAGATTTGGAAAAGACAACTTTTAACTGGGTTGACAATAATCAAACAATGCAGTTTATACAATGGCTACTACCATTTACTGAGCAACTGCTATGTGGCAGGCATTATTCTTGTGGTCTTATATTTCAATTTTAATCTTTATAGTAACACTGCAAGGTAGGTATTATTAGCATCATTCATTGTTAAGGAAAGGGAAGATTAAAGTGCCTTGCCAATTTTACACAACTGGTAAATCTGCTCAGCAAATATTTGAGAGCATACTTGGTGTTGGACCTGATACCATGCTGGGACTGGAACCACAGCCATGAACAAGACTGACAAGATCTCCACCCTCAAGGAGCTTACATTCTAGCAGTAAGGTTAGGATTTGAATATAGGGTATTGGATTCAAACTTTTCTTAGCTTCCACACTTTCTCCCCTTAACACTCTAGTAGAGATGAATGAAATTGTTTCAGGGTCCCTTAAGAAAGTGGATGGGGATAGAAACTATGTACTAGACTATGTTGTAGGAAAGAAATGGTGGGATGAGTATCAGGATGTATCAAAGAGAAAACCCTACGACCTAGATGTATGGAGAATGGAAAGCTTATGCTGCATAACAGACATGGCTTATGATCACCTGTAGATATTACATAATGCAATAGCAATAACGTGTACTTGCTGTTAAATTTCAAATACCCTTAAGGATCATTATTATCTCAGCATATGACCCTGCACTACCCAACAGGGTAGCCACTAGCCACTTCGGGCTCTCAAGAACTTGAAATGTGCCTAGTGTGACTCAGTAATTGAATTTTATTTAATTTTAATTAATTTAAAAACTGATACTTGATTCAGTTACTGGATCTTTTAAGCATGTTTAGAAAACTTGGGTATGTGAATCTATTATTTCAAATGTACATTTTAGGACATTTAAATACTGATCAAGTATTTTTAATGCAAATTTAGCTTCTGAATTGAGATGTGTTGTAATGTAAAACATAAACTGGATTTTGAAGACTTAATACAAAAAAAGAATTTAACGTATACCATTAGTGATTTAAAAAATATTGATTACATGCTGAAATGATAATATTTTGTATGTAATAGGTTAAATAAAATGTTATTAAAATTAGTTTCAACTTTTAAAAAATTTTTTTACTTTTTACTTTTTTAAATGTGTGTACTAGGAACTTTTAAATTGCATACATGGCTTGCATTGTATTTGTATTACACGGTGCTGGTATAATCTAAGGAGCCTTGTTGAAGAGAGTCTGGTCTATTATTACACCTTCTATCTCTGGCATCAAAATATTTTCCTAGTATACTTCATTGCCCCTTTATAAAAGGCTATGCAGTGTTTATCCTTTTTTTCTGTTACTGTTGTGAAGTTGTTAAAGTTGGGGATACTGGTCTGCATCTTAACAAAGTGTTCTCTTGACCTAGTAAGAAAACTGTTGAATGTCTTGAAAGAGATAGTCCTTTATGGATCTCACCCTCCTATACGTCTTTCTGGGTTTGCCAAGAATGAAAGACTGTTCTTTACCTGGGTCATTTCTCAGCACTGAGTTTTCAGTGAGCATCCTTGAGGGATGAGGCAATGTCTCCCTCCAGGACAAAAAGCAGGTTTGCTGCTGTTCATGACAAAAAGCAGTGAGTCCTACAAGCTCAGTACTCCTCAGCTACAATGAAAACCCACTGTATGGGTAGCCATATTGTGTACAGCCATATCATGTTGCCCCAAGGAACCTGGGAGAAGGGGAACCAATAAAAGTATGCTGATTCTCATGCTCCTTGCTGTGCCATGAGTAATAGTCCTTTGTTTTTATCCCAGGAGTCTCATGTCTTCTGCAAACATCCATGAAACAGTAACAGGCTAACTTATTAGTTTGTAAGTAGGATAAAGTCAAATTGCAGGCCCAACAGAATGCACTTAAGATCATTTATATATACTCATCATGAGTTGTAGAAAATTATTAGGTTTAATGGGATATAAGGATTCCTTTTTATATGTAAAAATTTGTTTTACAATTTTTAAAATTAAAATAATTTGTTGAAGCTCAGTTTTTATAAAAAAAACTGGTTTCACATAAAAATGTGGCTGAGTATCAATATTAGTCCCTAAAGGAGAAATATTACACATGTAATGTACTTGTATGAATTGTCAGTATACAAGTGTGCAAATAATATATTTATTTCCCAAAAGTATTTCTCAGAGTAAGTTTTTGACAATAGAAACAGAAAGTGAATCTAAGTATTCTGAGAGACTATATTTAAGGATTGACAGATTTTGGAAGAAATAGTTTATCTACTATTATATATACATATTTGGGACAAAAGTAAACATAAAATGTATAAAAATATATAAAAAGATACAAATACAATATATTTTAGTTGGAATTTCAGAGATGCTTTTTTTTCTTCTCTTTCCCCTTTACCTCAAAAGTTATAAATACTTTTGAAGCAGCATGTATTGTTGCATTTTTTATTTTTTGTTGTACAGTTAATGAACTTGAGAGTCTGGACGACGGGAGGTCATCTATTTGTCCTTCCCATTCTTTTGTTTCTTCTTCTTTGATTAGTAAAGGTTTTCCTAGGGTTTGGCCAACAAGGTTACAGACTTCTTGAGCTTTGCGCCACGCATTCTCAACAGCAACGAGACAGGCTTGCCGTCTTAGAAATTAAATGCAGAGATTATTATTATGACATTTAATCAACTGAAGCACTGAATAATTTTGTTTAAAGAATTGATAATTTAGGGCCGGCCTGTGGCTCACTCGGGAGAGTGCGGTGCTGATAGCACCAAGGCCACGGGTTCGGATCCCATATAGGGATGGCCGGTTCGCTCACTGGCTGAGCATGGTGCTGACAACACCAGGTCGAGGGTTAAGATCCCGCCGGTTCGCTCACTGGCTGAGCATGGTGCTGACAACACCAGGTCGAGGGTTAAGATCCCGCCGGTTCGCTCACTGGCTGAGCATGGTGCTGACAACACCAGGTCGAGGGTTAAGATCCCCTTACCGGTCATCTTTTAAAAAAAAAAGAAAAAAAAAAAAGAATTGATAATTTAGTTAAAGATATGCTCAAGCTTACCTAAGGTTCTCAACAGAACCTGAAGTATGATAGAACTGGGGTGGGCTGATGACAACAGAGCTATCTAGCTTTTCAACGAGAAAGTTACAAGTATTTTGCATTTTTCCAAATTCAGTAAATATAATGCAGACCTGTAAATGAAATGATACTTGATGTTATTTTCATGCCTGATGTATTGTTTCAAAATTTTCTCTAAATGAGAGTAAAAAAGTAAAGCCAGATTACGATGTCATTTTATAATATGTAACAGATAAGAAAAGTCAATTTGATACTTATAACTAAATTATTGTTATTAAACATTTTTGATTATGAATTTTGAAATTTATCTAATATTGACTTCATATTTTAAAACTCTTGTTAAACCAGAGACTTTTTGAAATTCAAGGATTCCCCCTTCAACTTAATTTTTTGACTAAATTCTAACCATGATAACTTTTTCATGACTCCTTAGTCCAATCTATGCCATTAGCTTCCTGATTAGTAGTAATTATATCATAACTCACTGCTCTCATTTTATGTTTTTTCTTCCAATAGTTATTTTCAGATCTATATGAGGAAGCAAATCTATTTCACCATGTCCTCTGCCATTAAATATGTGGAAAGCAGTTCTTATATTCAGCAACACCTTAAAAACATAGTCTTTAAACATTTTATGGAAGAGGACTAAACCTTTTCTTCTAAAGAACTCTCATACAAAATAGGGTAGGTCTGAGTACCAGAGACAAAGAGAGAGGTGAGATGATCTCACCTTACACAACACAGAACACCTGCTTTTAATAATAAATGTTATCCATTGAAGACTAATGTTCTATGAAGTTTCAATACTAAGTATCAGAGCAACAAGGAAGGGAGCAAGGATTCAATTTATCACCTTAATTTGCTGTGGAGTATTCATAAAGCAAATGTACTTCACAGGGCCTGGTTTTCGAAAGTCTTGCAGTTTCAAATATTGACCTTGCAAAGGACAGGAAATTTTCCCCAGGCTATAGTCTCTGTTGTAAGATAAGGAATTGTAACACAGCAAGGTTGCTAGCTCAAAGACAGACAGGTTACTGATTGATATGTAAGGATACTGGGAAATTGCCGTAAGAAGAGAATGTTTGCTAAAGTCAACTTTTGTTAGTGGATCGACTTAATTCCATTATAGAATGTCACCTTGCTTGTCTTACTGAATGTTACCAGCTTCTATTGTTAAACTAGTTAAACTGTACTTAGAAAAAACCCCACCTATGTTCTCTTCCTGTAACTTCCTAGTCTGGAAAATAAATGCGGGAAGAGAACCCCAATTCGTGATTAATTTCCCAAATGGAAGGAATGCCTTGCTCTTGAGGGTTCTGGGAGATTAACCCCTTTTTGGGGCTTCTCACTGCTCAGAAGAGATGGGCTTTGAGTAATCTTTGGTGGCTCCATCACCCAAGGAAAAAGGGGTAACAAATCTGTGGGAGGCAAAGCAACAATTCACAAAAGATCAGAACACTCCAAAGCATGCAATTTTGTCTTTTATTGAACCATTCTCTACTTTTATTAATCCATTGGTCTTCTTCCAAAGACCAGTTTCTTAATGAACAGCACATACTGCTTCCATTACCATTACTCCTTTTCTTAATCTCTTATCTGCTTTTATATTTAATAGTCCAAGAACATTTATGAAGTTACTAATGATCTCCTTATCTTTTTTCTCATGCTTCCTAACATTTGCTCTTTTACATTGCCAACAGTTAATTCCCACCTCTCCATTTCCCAGACTTCTAGCTTCTTTGGTTTCCAAGACACTGTTTTCATGGTATTCCTTTGACCATTTTTTTCCTCCATTTTCTATAGTTTCCAATTCATCCTCCTGTCCTTTCTGGTCAAGTAATATTTGGATTTTTGTGGACCTCTTCTACCATCATAGTTTATTTTTTAGCCTGTTAAGCTACTTAAGGAGGAAAATTTCAAACATACACAAAAGTAGAGTTAATGGTATAAAGAACCCTAGACATCCATTACCTTGCTTCAAAAATTATCATATTATGGTAATTTTATGTGTATGTATATATGTATATTTACATACACTACATATATCTTTTTTTGATGTACAGTTCTATTAATTTTGACAAATGTATAGAGCTCTGTAACCACTGTAACAAATATTTAGACCTGTTCATCATACCCCCCCATTTCCTTCAAGTAACCTCTTTATTATCATTTCCTTTCCTAACTCCCAAACCCTGGCAACCATTGATCTGTTCTCCCTTGTTACAGATTTGGCTTTTTTAGAATGTTATATAAATGGAAGCATATAGCCATGTATCATATTAAGACTCACTTCTCTCACTTAGCATAATGCATTTGTGATTCATCCATGTTGTTGCATAATAGTTCCTTTTATGCTGAGTAACAGTCCATATAATGTAGTCCATTATATGGATGCAACCACAGTTTGAAAAACATTTGGGTTGCTTCCAGTTTGGGGCTATTATGAATAAAGATGCTACTTTTTCAGAGTAGTTCTAGATCTTTTGCATTTCCAAATATATTTTATAATCGGTCTGTAAATTTCTATTTTAAAAAAAGCTGGCTGGGATTTTGATTAGGATCGTAATGAATCTATATGCATACCCATTTAGGGAGAACTGAAATAAGATATGAGTACCTTAATAATGCTGAGTCTTCCAAACCATTAACAAGATATGTTTGTCCATTTATTTAGGTCTTTTAACATTTCTCTCAGCAATGTTTTGTAGTTTTCAACGTATAGGTCTTTCACAACTGAGATTTATCCCTAGGTATTTTAAATTTTTGATGCTTATTAGTCCTGTAGCTTTTTTATCAGTTCCATCAGATTTTCTACATCATAGATGGTCATGTCCATTAATAAAGACAGTTTCACTTCTTCCTTTCTAATCTGGATGCCTGTTACTCTCTTTCTTGCCTGACTGCACTGGTTAGAACTTAAAGTACAATGTGAATACAAGTCGTAAGAGCAGACATCTTTGTCTTGTACCTGATCTTAGGCACGAAGCATTTAGTGTTATGCTGTTAAGTATGATATTAGTTGCTGGTTTTTCATAGATGCCCTTTCTCAGTCTGAGGAAGTTCCCTACCATTCCTAGTTTGCTGTGAATTATTATTAGGAATGGATAATAGATTTTGTTAAATGCTTTTTCTGAGTCTATTGTGATGATCATATGGTTTTTCTTTTTTTAGTTTGTTAATATGTTGAGTTAGGTTTACCAATTTTTCAAATATTAAACAAACTTTTTATTCCTGGGATAAACCACACTTGGTATTTATGTATTATCATATATCTATATATAGATATAGACATATATTCATATATATCATTGGGCTTGATTTGCTGAAATCTTTTCATAATTTTTGCACATACATTTATGATGAATACTGGTGTGTAATTTTCTGTTTGTAATTTCTTTCCTGATTTTGTTATATGGCCCCTAAGAATGAGTATTCCCTCTGTATTAGTCCATTTCTGTTGCTTATAACAAAATACATGGAACTGGGTAATTTATAAAGAAAACAAAATTTATTGCTCACAGTTTAGGAGGCTAGGAAGTCCAAAATCCAGGGAACATGTCTGATGAGGGTCTTGGTGGTGGTGACAGTGACCCAGAGGTCTCACAATGCAAGATGGCAAAAGCAGAGAGAGCAGAGAAAGAAGGACTCTCCTCTTCTTTTAAAGCCCTCAGAACGACACCACTAACCACCATTTTTAATCCAATCACTACTGCAGAGTTTTACAATCCAATCACCTCTTCAAGGCTCCACCTTTCAATTACCATAATAGGATTTCTCACCCTCTTAATAGTCACAGAGGGGGCTAAGTTTCTAATACATAAACCTTAGGGGACACAATTCAAGCTTCAATTAGATTTGGGGGGACATAATTCAATCCACTACATTTCACCCCAGCCCCCAAAACTCATATCTTTTCACATGCACATGCATTCATTTCATTCCCAAAGTCTTAACTTAAACAACTCAAAAGCCCAAAGTTCAAAGTCCCATCTGTGAAATCAATGTAAGTTATCTACTTCCAAGATACAATGATGGGAAAACATAGGGTATATATTCTCATCTCAGAAGGGATAAACAGGCCAAAAGAAAGGGGTAACAGGTCCCAAACAAGTCTGAAACCCAACAAGGCAGGCATTAAATCTCAAAGCTGGAGAATCAGGTATTTTGACTACATGTTCAACTTCCTCTGCATGCTGGTGTGGGGGTTGGATCTCCAAGTCTTCAGGCAGCCCGGCTCCTATGGCTTTCCTGGTCTCAGGCCACACTTCAGCTCTCCCAGGCTGGCTTTCCACTCTGGCAGCTCCACAGGTCTGGGGTCTCCATTGCGGTCCCACTCTCATGGCTTCACTAGGCATGGTGCTGATGGGGTTTCTCTGCTGCAACTCTGACCCCACGTTTTCTCTTGACATTACTAGTGAAGGCTTTCTGCAGTGACTCCACCCTTGTGACAGATCTCTTCCTTAGCCCCCAGACTTTTATACATCCTTTGAAGTTGGGGTGGAGGCTCCCAAGCCTTCAGAGGTTTGGCATTCTGTGAGCCTGCAGATCTAACACCACGTGGATGCCGCCGAGACTTCTGGTTTATATTTTCCAAAGCTGTGGGTCCAGCCACACCTGGGGCCAATTTAGCCATGGCTGGAGCAGCCAAGGCAGCTGGGGTGCTGGTGTTAGAAGCAGTTTCCTGAGGTGGCCCTGAGCAGTGAACCTGTGGAGGGTGCCTCAGGCCTTTTCCCCAAGACCATTTTGTCTCCTTAGGCCTTTGGGCCTGAAATGGAAGGGTTGGCCCCAGAGGCTTCTGCAATGCCTTCAGGGCTTTTTCCCCCTTCTCTTGATAATCCCTTTTGTTTGTGCAAATCTTAGTACTACTGAATTTTCTTCCCGAAAATGCTCTCTGCTTCTCTACCACATGGCCAGACTGCAAATTTTCTGAATATTTACGCCTGCTTCCCTTCTAAATTCTGGCTTTACATTGTGCCTTTGCCGCAATAACTCAGAGTAGGCTGTTACAAATAGCCATGCACCTTCCTGAATGTTTTGCTGCTTAGTGATTTCTTCTGCCAAATACTCTGGTTCATGGCTCTTAAGTTTCAACTTCCACAAAGTTCTAGGGCAA